CTGCTAGTTTGGCAACTTATATAAAAAAAAATAATCAACATTTTGGACGAAATAAGCATGCCGCTTATACCTATGAATGTCATCACATAACAGATTCGATCATAGACGATTTCGAAAGACGACACACTTCGATGAGTTTTGTTGTTAGTTCAATTACGTTTTATTACTTTGACAAGCTCATTGTCGGCCGACCCAATTTTTTCATTGATGCACTTGTCGAATTCGTTTTGAAATAAATTATAACATACATCAAAGATGAAGTTAATGCTTCTAAATTAGACGATCAATTTTAGCTCCGCTGATGCTTGGTATTGCAAGGTATTTCAAAGTTACCGTTGACCCAATTGGCGTAGTGGGTAGTGATCCTGTCTCTTGCGAAAGAGGGTGGGGGTTCGATCCCCACTACTGGAAAAAATATTGTGTGATGAACATAATGTTTATCTAGTATCTACGTGTTTATATATCTGTAATACGTGCTTATTTACAAAAGAAAAGTATGTTTAAATAAGTTTATCAGTTACCTAGTACCCTAGTAGTGGTAGTGTAGTAGTAGTAAGTTTGTGTAAAAATATGTCTCGAAATATTTATTTCGACATTTGTGTTTCATTTAATTCCACAGCCAATAATAAAGTGCATTTTCGTTCAAATGTAAAGCAGTAGAACGTTTAAGTGAGACGCGATAGGTTATAAATTCATTTTACGTGTTCTTCTGAAGCTCTGCTGTATTGTATTTCGAAATATTGCCTCCTGTTTGCGCTCGAGTGCGTACCGAGTGAATGACGAGGACAGTTATTGTTTTAGAATTATTTGATCTTATATAAAGTTGTTATTCAGTATCAGATACAATGCGACGGTATGTACTTCCAGAAACACATTATAAACATCTGGTTTACAGATACAACTTATAAACATGTATTAAATAGGAAGGAATATGAAAGCTATCAATATCGAGGAGAAGAGAAAGATCTTACGAGCAATTCTTGTATATATATATATATATATATATATATATATATATATATATATATATATATAATCGGAATCTCGGAAACGGCTCCAGCGATTTTCATGAAATTTAGTATGTGCGTAGAATCGGGGGCGAAAAATCGATCTAGCTAGGTTTCATTTTTAGAAAATGTCCTTTTATCCCTGTTTTCAAGGAATGAAAAATATCATTCGAATATGACGGTAAATTTCGCCGCAAAAAAAAATTTATAATAGCTCGGTCGGTAATCGGGCGGCCCCAAAACAGACTGCCGCGGTTCGTATCACGATCATTTACACACTTATTTTTTTTACTTTTTTTCCTGTACCAGATGATTTTATTTATTTTTTGTTTATTTCCAAAATACATGATTTACCAAAAAAAAAACCGAGCAAAGCTCGTTCCTCCAGGTACTATTAGTAATACTGTGAAGTTGTTCACTTTGCATCCAACTTCATCATGCCGCTCATTTGGTTATCGGTGTGCACGCCCATCGTAAAAATTTTACTCTAGTAATTGTTTCCAAACGCGCCATAAGAACTATATATTTTCAATAATACCAGCGTTAATTAAAACTATTTACAGTATTTTCGTCTAGTTTACAAGTTATCAATCGCACTCTGTTAACTCGTTCACTACACGTCTGAGAACGGTTGACAACACATACAACAGCCCCGCTATAGTAAGCTCCAGAACAATTACCACGCGCTCGTAGAAACGCTTGCCCGCGTGGACCTCGTATCTACGACCAGCGGCGTGGAAGCTCACGGCTTTTCGATTGCGTGAAACAAGCCGTCACAGGGTAAGTTATAAGCGGATAATTGGCCATCGCCTTTTCGCACGTACAGTCGCCTCCCGCATTATAATTGCGTAAACGGAGCACCGCAAGAGCGAGGTCGGCGGGATCCGAATAAATGTTAATTATGCGACGCGAGACGTCTCCGCCGACAGAAATACGAGAGGCGTAATTGCGAGCCGCCGCGCGTCGACTGCCAACTAGCGGAACTGCGGGCGCGTTGGGTTTCGGCAAATGGAATTGTCGCGTCGCGCCCCGCGGATCGAGTTAATCGCGAATTCGCAAACGGCCCCTAATCAGTTTAGGTGCTGAGCCGCGGCCCATAAAACGGGCCGGCTGATAAAGTAATTGTTTCACTTCGTTCGCGGTCTTACGGCAACGCGGCGTCTGCGAGCAGATGCGAGCTCGATGAGTTACTATCGACTCGCGGATCTCCGGCGTGTAATGTACGACTATTATAATAATATTGTAGTCTGTTTATACTTTTGTGTTTATTCCTGTGAGTAAAATAACTGTAGACTAACCTTGTTAAAGGTTGGCTGTTAATCTGTAATACTCGACCTTCTCAAGAGCCTACCGTGACGTAGAAACTGTTTAAAAATCACACGATTTCTCCCTCCACTAACTCATAACGTAGACTGTAAGAGAGTTCATCAAATCGTCTGTATACGTAAGGTAACAACTTACATGTGTACCACTGTACAGAAATTATGGGACCTACATTATACATAACACAATACCTACACTACGTGACCCCATTATTTAAACAACATGCAGCTTTTCTTCACTAAGTTTTCCTTCACCGCTTAGCACGTGATGAGTCGGCAGTTATAACTGCAATCAACAATTTCATTGGTGCGTGCACCGGGATTTGAACTCAGTTTGCTCGAGTATATTGAATTAATTGCAAATGACTCGACACTGAGCTATCACGGCCCTGTACATGCATGTGATGTGAAATTAATAAATATTTAAGCTCAGTATTCCGATGGCATAACGTTTCATATTAAAGCTAAATTGCTCGCGCCGCCGCAGACATTTTAGCGAACCTGGCAAATATGCGATTGATCAGTTATTTGGTTTGAGTATTTGCACCAAGCGCGCATATATAGGCTGCTTTATTTACCCATAATGGATGACGCTAACGCAATATTAAATTCGGTTATGCGAAACACGGGTTCACGGAAGATATAATCGTGTATCGACCGGATTGGCAATATACTGAAGGCGTCGATATTAGCTGCCGTGAACGATAAGCACGTTGCTTCATTGTATAGCTGTTCCAGCGGCGTTTAGGAGTCGGGGGGGGAGGTTATGCTCTGCCTATCCGTCACTATAACCACAAACAGTATTTACTCGTGTTCAAACTCAGGTTGAAATTAGCCCACAATCGTTATTGAATAATTCCGAAATTCTCCAAAATATTCAATACTTTTAATTGATAGCACTAACTAGGAGACCTACCGTTTAAAGCTAGGAGTTTTGTTTAGCAGAGCGCTAGAAATAAAATCACCGTAACGTTAGGCAAAAACAACCCATGGGAATGAAGTGAGCGCCGCAAAACGAGTTTATGTTGCATTGTGGGATTTGCCAATGAGAGAGGACCATCGGTACTAAGGCAATTTTCCGAACCAGTGGAAAGAGAAATGTGACGTGGAATAAGCAATATGTAAATTAAATCAAATATCACATACAAAATGAAACAAGCTATCTCGCTGTACAAACTCGCACAGTATAGATTGTCGATTAGTTGGGATCAACTACTTGGGATCCGGGATCCTAAAGTCTGGTAACGTAAATAATCAGATAATGGAGGAAGACGTTAGAACGTTGATTAAGACGTTGTTAACTAAGACAACTGTTACTAAGACCCGACGCGATATTAAGCTTACAAATAATTATGTCGACTACTTCATATATAACCAAATACTCTTGCTATGGTAGACTATGTCTGTCGGTGCAGGCCCATGCTCGCGTTTCTTTGAATCAATCTTCGTTAAGCACGTTCAATCTGGTTCAACGGGTGTAATAGGTAGTCTTATTCTACCCTACGTGAGTATCAACAGTTTTAACTCCACACATTGGCGTCGTCGAGATATTCCGCAATGGTATAATATGCTTTAACCATAAGTTGACTTTTGATTTTACGTTTAAATTGACCAAGCGGCAGACTTAATATCTTAATAGTATAAATAAATAAATGACTACCTCACAAGGTGCTCTAGCCGGCTCTCGCCTCGGCCGTGAACCCGTCCACATGAGTCAATCCGAGATTGAATCAGGCACGGGAATAAATCCGACGCCATCATCGCCGTGCACCGCGTAAAGCTGTCAGCCCGCGTAAGTGGCTAGCCGTGCTCTAATTAGGCGAGCGCTTTAGACACCGCGCTGGGCTCCAGCGGCTGTGTCGAGAGATCTGTGAGTTATCGTTATGAGTGGCGGTGTGATGCCTGGACTCGTTTCGACAAATTTGGGCTGCTGCCACAACCCTATTACGCTAGATTGGCAGGGTTGACTGTTAGAGGTGGTCTTGCCTTTGTTTTTTTGCTACTATTAGTACTACTAGAATTATATATTTGCATTAGATGAAGCTACAATCCACTCGATGCTGCAGGACTTCGATGCATAGAAAAGTTTTATAAAAGCGTTCGAAGCTAAAGAATAAAAGGCGTGTCATATTAATATTTTATTTAATATTTTGCTGTTCTTCCTTTGTGGAGTGACGGGTTGTGATATACACAGCAAAATGTTTCGTAGTTATCTAATGCGAAGTGAATCCGATCCTAACAAATCAGTTAATTAAATGCTTAGAATGCTTTAAAAATTCACATTAAAGTATTTTGCGTTTTACCATATTAAACTGGCAGTCCGCATTACTATTGCGTGGCGGACCTGCTCTGTTCAACACCTAATGTGCTGAACGGAGCAGGTCTTTCCTCACTAATTCAGCATATAAATATGCATAATTATAGGCCGCATCATCAAACTACAAGTCTATAATAGTAGATCTGTATACTAATGTCAAGGATACGAAATCAATTCGTAATTGCATTCAAGTCCATTTAAGTGCCTTGTTAACAAGCCAAGATTCCGTCACATCACGTTTGTAAATCAATTGTCGCTTCGTGCACAATATTAGATACAGGGGTCAAGGAACTCTACCGACGTTCACGTACCACGGTGGTGTTTGTCGCGAGTCATAAACTTATTGAATCCGAAATGACTACTGTCAGCTCCGATCTACGCTGCCGTCAAGAGCTGTGGGCGTGGACGAGCGTTCAAAAAAAAAGCCCGAAACCCGTTCTGAATGTTGCCACGGTGAGAGACATCGAGATTAATTCGTTTTTAATATGAATGAGCTTGAACATTATGAACACGGTCGACGATTGTTGAAATCTCGACAAAAAATTAAGGCGGCACGGCGAAGACCAATGTTTCAGAGTTGGCTTAGCGGCGGTTTTAATGCAGATAGCATCGAAAATATTAAGCTTAAGAGATTATGATAAAAAAGAACTTTTCTAATGAAATTCCATTTTATAGAGGAATAATTAATTAAGATTTGTATACGGCCAAAATTGGATCAATTCGGTTATCTTATAAACATTTTTTTTAATTAACAAATTAAAGAAATGAAATAAAATCCGACAGCTTTTGGCAATATTTGCTACTTAATGAATATTTAACAAATCAATTCAAATAAATTTCATATCGAAATATATATATGTCGGCATCGGCAATTAATTAGGTATTTTATCCTCGTCGCTCATGTATCAGTCGTATTACATATTCCTGTCTTCAACTTTATCTCTACGAAACTTTATGATCACTCCATACTAAAGTCAGCGTGACTTGTCGTCTACTGAAGTAATCTGATCATTTAAATTGCAAATGTATTTAAATTTTCGTAAGCCATACCTTTTAATGGGTAAAATCCGGGACCGAGAACGGCTGCCTCAACAACTTGTCAGCTCATTAAAGAGCACTATCATATTGCTACTTTCCAACACTCACGGATTTAACTGTTCTATTATATAGAGAGTTAAAAAAGTAAAGGAACAACCTATACGTCATATCCCACTGCTAGGCAAATGCCTCCTCTGTACAAGTCGGCACTTAAATTAATAATTTCATTGGTGCCGCCACCAGGGATCGAACTCAAGTCGCTGGAGCAAACTGAATTGAAGGCGAGCGCCCGGACACTGAGCTATCACGGCTGTAAGACAGAGGTGTCCCGAAGTTGTATAGTAAAAAACACACCTTTCACCTTACACTGTATACACACGGTGCACGTGACCTTGTACGTAGGTGATGAGTTCCAGACGGTGATTCCTGACGCACGCCAGCAGGTTCGAAGCCGACCTGCGTTCTCGCCCAGACCGCGGCTTGCGGTTGCCGCTGTCTTTTCACACACGTTTAAGCCGCGAGTAATCACGTATCTCGTACCCGTCGGCGCACACGAGACGCCGGGCGTGCTTTTATCGGCCACCGTCACGCCTAAAACTCGAAAACGGAGCGCGCATATAGAAACGCTTATCTGGCGCCGTTTCGCTCTCCAAAGGGAAAAGAGAAAAGGACAAAAAGCACTCGCCCCGATCGCGATAAGGCCACAACTGTCGCACGCGAGTGCCGCGGAACAACACTCGACGTTCCTTTGATACGCAAATGATTTAAGCGCAAGATGCTAAGATACTTCGTGTTGTTTATAACGCCACTGTGGTTTTTACAATTCGGTGCGTCAAAGTAAAAGCCGAAATTGCCTGTTTCAAACTCTTAATCAGTATATGTGGCTGATAATAAAATTGTTGTTCAGAGAGACCGCGTGGACGACTTTTTTAAAAAAAAAATTGAATCAAGAAAATTGTTATACAACCAAGTCATTTACTTGAATGTACAATTTTGTCGGCCTACAATCTGTGTAACAATTATAATATTGCTACACAGGAAGTACATATAAAACACTTACAAAGAGTGAGCTAATGGTGTAAGAAAAGCAAATAATTTTTATAACAGCTTCGTATTATTGTAGACGGCTGTCTACAATGGCTTTGACACCTAAAACTGCATCTTAAATAAATTGGGTTACCTTAACGTACCTTTTTTAATTATCGAACTGGAGCTTGCCAAAAGGAGTTTCATGGACGTCATGCTAGTTAATCGTCTCCGCGAGTAAAAATATCGTTGAATCGTCCCATCCCTTTATTGGAACCTGTGGGAACGAAGGCCGTGTACACACAAAAAAAATGTTGCCGTCAATTTTTTATGCAGTGTCAATAAGAGTCGCGGTCAAAAGGCGTAAAACGAAACGTATAATGCTGAGGTCGGGCCCGGGTAAATTACAAACTGCCGGGGCACATGTTCCTTAATAATAGAGCCGGCGCGGCGGTTCAGGTGTGGCCCGAGCCCTGATGGCCGGGGTGAATGGATTTTTATCGAGAATAATAATCGTCTATCTATTGACTTGCCGTGAATTTTGCTTTTGGTTAAATATTTGTTCTGTTTTTGAAATTGGAACGTCGCGTCGATCGTAGACATTTGTTTGTTACTATTACGAATATACAAGGCAATATTATATATAAATAAGGCAATGTGACGCTTTTAAGGTTATAATTACGTTAAATGTTTAGAAAACGTTGAGACATAGTGCTCGATCTATATATAAAATAACGTTTCTGCTTCGCCCCGTAGGTCGTAGCGTGACGTTAAATACCCTAATCAGAAAAAAGAGGTATTAAAGATTTTATGAAATCCGACTGGAATTTCCCGAGTTTAGCGTGTTAAAATAAACAAACTCTTCAACTTTATTATTTTAGTATAATTATGAAATACCTATTTGATGTCTAAGTATTATTTGTGTGTTCATCAGCGTAAATTTATCGATTCATATGTCGGATAGCAGTAACAAAGGATGCCTAAAAGATAAATTCACTGCAGAATTGCAACCACAAAGTATGCTTTTATGAAACAGTTCTTCGAAGTCCGCACGGAAGGAGGGGTAAATTGAGAATAAAGCAGAAGCGTCTTTTCAGTCTTCCGCATTATTTAAAACAGATTTTGTCCATATTTATTTTAACGTTGGCGGTTCCGATAGGCCGCGATAAAATAAAGGCCACCGATATGGCATACCGTTGAATTAATAGGCGGAATTACATAGGTACGCTGTGCGTTCGGGGGCAGCCATTGCGGCGTCCGTGCTATATTGTCCCGCGGGACTAGTGAGGCATCGTCGTTAAATAAACAAAGCCGCTCGTTTGTTTTGCACGCGCCCGATTTTTTCCATCATTTCCGAACGACCCGTTCGTCTAGCATATAGTAATTATTATTTCGATGATTTAATTTAAATATTTTGATTATTAATTTTCCTTGTGGTAGGGCCACGAAGACTTTCGCTGTTGCACAAATGGGCAGGTCCGTCCGGGTAAGTACCACGACATCACAGCGTGAGGTGGTAGTGCTATATTTCTACGTTTCGTTTGGCCAGTGAGGTAATCGTAGCCCACTTTATTGAAATGGCGACATAGGCGGCGTTTGTCACTTACTACCTTCTTACGAAAAAGAAAAGGAAATTTCTTTCGCTTAGGGTTCAAATCATTCGCGGCATTCTCGGGGGACTCTTGATAAATTGTAAGTAATAATTCGTAAAATTCAGTTATATTAAAAATGTATATTATTCATGTTACGGTATATAGAAAAATATCTTATCTTTTAAAGCAATTCTTGTAACTCTTCTAATATATAAAATTCTCGTGTCACGGGGTTCGAACTTGAACTCCTCCGAAACGGCTCGACCGATTTTTGTGATCCTTAGCGTGATTGTCGGCCAGGGTGGAGAATCGGCCAACATCTATTTTTCATCCCCCTAAATGTTAAGGGTAGTCCACCCCTAATTTTTTTTTTAATTTTAGGACAATTTTTTTTGTTTCTATTGTTTATGATACAGCATACAAAAATATATAGAACCCTAAATTTCCACCCCTATACGCAGACGTAGTCGCGGGCAGCAGCTAGTATATATATATAATCGGAATCTCGGAAACGGCTTCAGCGATTTTCATAAAATTTGATATGTGCGTAGATTCGGGGGCGAAAAATCAATCTAGCTAGGTTTCATTTTTAGAAAATGTCCTTTTATTCCTGTTTTCAGGGAATGAAAAACATCATTCGAATATGACGGTAAATTTCGCCGCAAAAAAAATGTTATAATAGCTCGGTCGGTAATCGGGCGGCCCCGAAGCAGAAGGCCGTGGTTCGTGTCACGATCATTTACACACCTTTATTTTTACTTTTTTTTTCAAGTCCAGATCATTGCTTTCTTAATTTTTTATTTTTGTCGATCCAGATGATTTTGTTCCTTTTTTCCCTTTTTTTTTAAAGTTCTTTCTTTTGTGAAAAACATAAGTTCATATTTTCTTATTATTAAGTCGGTAAGATCGAAAAATATTATGCATATTTTATGACTCAGTAATTTGTATCTAAATGTAATTTCCAAAACACATGATTTACAAAAAAAAAAAAAGCCGAGCAAAGGTCCTCCAGGTACTTATATTAAATGTCGCTTTGACGACTTCTAAGCTCGGCTATTTGGCTATCGATTGTCTTTTATTTACTCAGAAATAATAATCCTAAAGAAAAAGAGTCATCTATCGAGTTAATTGGAAAACAATCAAAAAATAGCCTCCGCGCCTGTTCTCAAAACGATAGGTACTAATATTATTGTACATACGAAAGTTCGAGTGCGAACGGGGCGCGAACTAATCCCACTCACCCTGATGAACCGAAACCAGTTAGTACATACATCGGTTCAACGTGAGTTCAGCCGTCTTATCATTTCGTTAATACGAAATTCTGTTTTTATGCAGCAACAGAGCCGTGATAGATCAGTGTCCGGGCGCTCGCCTTTAATTCAATATACTCGGGCAACCTGAGTTCGATCCCCGGTGCCGGCACCAATGAAGTTTTTAACTTTAAGTGCTGACTTATCACGTGCTCCGCGGTGAAGGAAAACATCGTGAGGAAACCTGCATATTTTCGAAATAATAACAAAAAAAAATATATTTTTCGAAGATATGTGAAGTCCGCCAATCCGCAGTGGGGCCGCGTGGTGGACTATGCCCTGATACCCTCTGTATAGAGGAGGCCTTTGCCCAGCAGTGGGACATGTATAGGCTGTTACTTTACTACTTTACTTTTTTTTATGCAGCAACGGGTCGCATATAGATAAGTTTTATGGGCCGTAATAAACAGTACTTAAGATCACTGTTGATCCCGGAATCCCCGAGCACAGTCATGATGCGTATTCCCGATATATTAATAGAATTCGAACCCACAGCCCACAAATACATACAGGCCACATCCATGTAGGAGTTCTCATGTAAATCGGCATACGTAGGTCGGACCTCCGGCACGGTAGCACTCGCGAAACTTACAGCGAACAGGATTTATTCAAATCCGCGTTGCGTTGTATTTATATTTGCGCATATTTCGGCCGAGTTTAAGCCCAATCGCGTACGAGCAGCGTGCAGAATTCAAACGGCTTCTAATGCGACGTCGCTGAGCTCACGCCCCGTCTATGTCGTACGATATTACTGTAATCCCATCCTTTATGCCTCTGTGCATTCCACTTCCTTATTCTTGGGGGATTATCCTTTCAAAGGTCCCACCACGGCGCGTGACGTTATGGAGCCCCGAGCGTCGCAGACTCCGTGCTGTTATTGCCTTTCATGTGCCGCGCGATTCGTGTCGTGCACTTTACATATCGACGCGGTGGTAGCTCTACCGTGCTCTACGGAATTATCTGCGGTAATGATTAATAGCTCGCTAAATAGTCCAAAAGCGGAAATTCATAGAATCGGCGCACAAAAAATATGTACGGACAATCGTACTCTCAAGAGAAGATCCGTGATAGCTCATTGTCCGGGCGCTCGCTTTAAATTCCATATACTCGAGTAACATAAGTTCGATCCCGGTGCCAGCACTAATGAAATGTTAATTTTAAGTGCACGCTTATCACGTGCACAGCGGTGAAAGAAAAAATTGATGAGGAGACCTGCGAATTTTAGAATTAATTAAAATTAAAAATATTTCTAAGATATGTGAAGTCCGCTAATCCGTAGTGGGGCCGCGTGGTGGACTATGCCCTAATACCCTCTGTAACGAGGAGGCCTTTACCCAGCAGTGAGACATATATAGACAGTTACTTTGCCTACGTGTTTGCTCCCTCTTCAAGCCGCAACGGCTGAACGGGATTTGAATACTACTTTGACCGGAGCTTGTACGCTAGATACGTGTTACAATTTTTTAAAATAAAAATTATACTAAAATCTAAACCGTGGGAAAAGTTAGTTAGTTGCCTAGTAGTTCACTCACAGACTAGAAAAATTAAAGCGACACGCCTATCGAAAGTGAAGCAATATAAAAGAAAAGTGAAGCATAATTCTGTTCTGTTGAAGGGCCACGAATGGGCAGGCTCGTCAGGGGAAGTACCACCACCTCACACAAGACCGGCGTGAAGTGAAAGTACCTATTATACTTCTGCGTTTCGTATAGTAAGTGGGGGTAACCGAAGCCTACTACTTTAATGGTTGACAAGGCATCTGCAATTCGTAACGTGTTTTAGGTGTCCTTGGACGGCGGTTATCTTTACTAACCCTCTTAC